GCGGGGCCATGCGGGGAACGGGGGTGCTTTACCGGAGCCGTGATTTTATCAAATGGGTGCCGGCGAAGCAGCCGCTGCACTCCGTGAAGGATGCGGGGATGTGGGAATGCCCTGATTTCTTTCCCGTGTTGATGAAGCCTCTGGTGGGTTTGGATAACTCTGCTAACGATAATGGGTTGAAACACGTGTTTAAGGTCAGCTTGGATGCTAACAGGTATGACTATTACACGTTGGGGATCTATGATTTTATACACGATAAATACGTGCCGGATGGGTCGTCGCCGGATAATAACACGGGGCTGAGGTTTGATTACGGGAACTTTTATGCTTCAAAGACATTTTTTGACGAGGGGAAGGGGAGGAGAATCCTGTGGGGTTGGTCGAATGAGTCTGATAGCATAGAGGATGATTGGGGGAAGGGATGGGCGGGTATTCAAGTAAGTGTTCGGCATCAAAATTGAATTTTTAGTCTTTTTTTTTTTTTATATGAATTGATGGATTAATGTATGATTGTTAATGTTGCAGACGATTCCGAGAGCTATTTGGCTGGATGGCAATGGTAGGCAGGTGGTGCAGTGGCCGATTGAGGAGGTGAATAAACTGAGGGGAAAGAGGGTAGGGATATATAACAGGAGCGTTGAGAGCGGGGGTGTGATTGAGATAAAAGGAATTGAGAGCGTGCAGGCTGATGTGGTGGTTAAGTTTGATGTGTCTTCTGGGTTAGATAAGGCTGAGAAATTTGATGTGGCATGGAGGGATCCACAGAAGCTCTGTTTTGAGAAAGGAGCTGATGCGAAAGGTGGGATTGGAGCCTTTGGACTTTATGTTCTAGCTACGGATGACAGAGAGGAAAGAACTTCTGTTTTCTTTAGAATCTTTCAGCTGGGACAAAAGCATGTGATTCTAATGTGCCATGACCCGACCAAGTATGAACTCTCTCATCTCTCTCTCTCTCTCTCGCTTTCTCACGCACACATTGATGATATCTTAATGTCAACAGCATGAGGATCAAGGTTGCCCCCAATTTTCCTCGTGAAAAGTCAGAAAATTTTATTTTGAATAAAATTTTAAATTAATTTATTATCAATATTAATTAAAATTATTATTATTTTGATGCCTATTCGAGGAAAAAGTATTACTTACGGAGCACAAACTTACCCATATGTGACATGGCTTTCTCATATGCGGCTGTTGGTACTCTACTAGCTGACATTATCTGCTTTAAAATTTTGATGTACAAACTATTACTTGTATTGTTATTTGAACTTAGGTCTTCAATCCGCAGTACATACACAGTCCCCATAGCCCAACCCGCCTTCATAATCATCATAGCGTGGGTTGAAAGGGCGGATTGTCATAATTAGACTAAAATTGACCAATAATATGTCTCTGATATCCTAAAATTATATTTTCTTCATTCTCTCTTATGTTGATCATCTACTTCAGGACACTTTTTTTTTTACTTTTTCAGCTAATCATGCTCATCTAATTTATCATTTCATCATGCAGAAACAAAGTTTAGATTCACTGAACATGATTAGAGATTTTCTCTTTCAAGTGTATAAATTAATAAAAAAAATTATCATATATATATAAATATAAAGCTATATTAGGTTTTTCAATTAAACCCATATTTTGTTAATATATTTATATATTATTTCACCCACAAGAGAGTTGGCCCATCGTTCCGAATTGTATCAAGCCATCGTACACACAACGATGTGATGTTCTTATCATCAGAACGTAATATTTTCTCCATCATTATCTTCTCATTTTGCATGTGATCCAATTGTTGCGTATTAACTCGTGGAATTCCTGCGGGTTGAAGAATATTGATTAATGCATAAATATATTAATGATTTATTCTCAACCATTTCACTCTGTTCTGGCGTAAATTAACAGATCCTCAAAGAGTTCAGATTTGTACAAGCCAACATATGGAAGCTTCGTGGACTACGACTTACGTAGAAGTGGTGGAAAGTTATCCCTCAGAACCCTGGTAATTTACCATATTCCTCTATCTGCTCCACAAGTTTTAAATTGTAGTTAATTATAAAATCTCAATCTCTTTTTTGTTGATGTTTGCAGATTGATCACTCGGTTGTGGAGAGCTTTGGAGCTTATGGAAGAACTTGCATAACATCAAGGATTTATCCAGATTATGCAGTCGGTTCCAATGCTCGTCTTTTTGCTTTCAATAACGGGGCTGAAGATGTAAAAATAGTACAGCTCCGAGCATGGGAGATGAGGAAGCCATTAATGAATGGAGCTTAATTGTTCATTAATATTTTATTAATTGCTTTCTTTTTTTCTACAATATGTCTGTTAGAAAACATTGGGTTGATTTAATAAACCATTTTTGGGGTTCAGCGTAGTTATCTGTGCTTGGTCGGTTCAAAGTTGGAAATTTCAGTTGAAAACTGCAGGCTGTGTATTCTGCACGGCTCTATCCGGAAGAAGAAATGTAAAATCCTGATCAAGGTTGACACGTAACGTTTGTTTCTGAGCTTGTGCTCAAAATATTTTCAAAGTTATAGTTGTTCATGGATCAGAGTCTGCACAGAAGAAAGAATTAATGACTTTTAATGCGTTTGGTTGAAAAAAAAAAATTCAACCTTTTTGCTAGATATTTATCTATTTAGATAACTAAAATCTAAAATTTGATATTTACATTCATATTGTTAATTTCTTAAAAGTGAAATTGCTTTCTAACATCAAAAGGTTATAAATATGAACATCAAATTTTAGTTTAATTTTGTGTCATGTATCTAATTTTTCATATATATATATATATATATATATAATATATATATATATATATATTTATATGGGTTTTATCCGTAGACTTCATTTAATGCAGGTCAGACTCTGGCAAGAAGTCTTGCGTTTTTAAAAAATATTAAATTCCAATCACGGTCTCTCTGTGCGACTTGCATTCACGAGATAAATCGACGTGTAATTGGAAAAACATATTGCGTGTTTTGTATTTTTTGTATTAAAAGCTACTTTTAAATTATAGTCACGATCTCTCTTTGCTAAAAAAATTATTCTCTATATCATAGATCATGTTTAATCTACGATGAGAATAAATTTTAATGGGTCTCATTTTAAATTTTATTATTATTATTTTTTAAAAAAATTGATTACATATTCATCGTAGATCGATTTACGGCATAGATCAGACACCGCATGCATCTCCTCTGTGCATGCATGAGATAAATCAATCTAATTGAAAAAAAATATTGACTGCTGCTTTTTTTTTTTGTTGCATCTTAATTTTATATACAATGAGATTGTACATTATATATGTATTATTTTATATGTACAATTGATTATTCATGTTATTTATAAATTGTGCAGCATGTATAATCTATTTTACATAAAGTTTGGATACATCTTGTTTCACATTTAAAAAATCGTTATATAACATTAAAGTAAAATATCAAAATAGTCCCTAACTATTTATACGAGGTCATTTTAGTTTCAGAGTTTATAATAAGAGACCATTGAGGTACTTTGTTCTCAATAGCGAGTTTGTATCTTCTGTAAAATAATTTTGTAAATTTGACTATATTTCAATTCATTCGAAAGATTTTTAAATGATGTTAGGCTTTTAAGAAATATTCTCACTCCAAAATAGGTGAGTGGTCTTTACACGAGCCATCAGATGAAGTCTTACATGTTCATTTATTCGCAAAGGTAGGTCATATTGGTCGCTATTGAATCATGCCAACTTATAAGTGAGACTACATATTACTGGTTAAAAAATAACTTTATTCTAAGACTTGGGGAGTTATTAAAATGATATTAAACTCCATGATCGTCATATCCCATAGGAGGCGACATTACTTATAGAAATTAGAAAAAGTTCCTTCAAAGCTCTCTGCCTAAGAGTTTTATATCCTATGAACCTACTTTCAATTCTAAGGGTACGCTCACTTTTGAATTACGAGCATAATCCACTAGTTCTATTATTAAGAGCCCCATTGCTGCAACCCTTAGGAACATCAAAGATATTGTGTGATTTAAGTGTTGTGAGGCATAATTTTTAGATGAGACACAACAACATAGAAGATAAAAGTAAGGAAACAATTATTGGGACTTGCATAGTGCGTGTTAGGTATGACTCATATACCATATAAGGGACAGATGTTGGAGCGGAACGGAGCGAGCCCGCGAAGCTCGCAAGCAAAGTGGAGCAGAAGCACCTGTCCAATTGGAGGAGTTTTGTTATGTGGATTATGGGTGTGGGGGCAACGCCCCAGCGGTACCGTACAGTAGTAATTTTGTAATTACTTATTGTTCGTCAAAGTTATATATATATATCTTGTTTGTTACCCTAGGTATCTTGTACCCTTTTTCTGAATTGAAAGAAAAGCCGTCATTCTGCTCCAGAAGACGTAGGCATCTTCGCCGAATCTCTTTAAATCTCTGTGTTTCTTTCTGGATTTGTGTTGATTCTTGCGTTTCTTTGCCTTAAAATTCTCAATAGTGCAATTATATCTTTTTAGTATGACGAAAGAATCATCATATTGTAATATACCACAAAAAAATTTTAAGCATTATTTTCTCATTTATAGTAGAATACACCCTTAGTACCGAGTCCTTTAACCTTATTAGTTATCCTCTAATCTCATTTCTGACCTTTATTTTTCGTACCAAAACACATATAATAATATGTTCTAAAAATACAACAAAGAAACATCTCTTTTAAAAAATACCTAGAATTGCCTCTTGACATTAACATCATGTTATGATTTGTGTGAAAAATGTACATTTCTTTTGTTCACATCTTACTATTCTTGTGAAATAACTTCATACTTTGGTGAAGTCAATATATGTCACTATTATTCTCATTTACAATTCATTTCCAATCTTATTTTGCCCCTTTTCTTCAATGTCTTACATCATTGATAAAGAAACATATTGATTTAAATTATTTCAGGTCTTGTAAGTTGGTTAATATGATGGTATTCCATTTGATTGGCTTGGAATTATCCTTTCTTCCACATAACGGATGGGTGTCCTTAATCATTCTAACTCTAATATTCCTACTATGAAGTAATCATTTTAAAATTGGGACATTTACATACATACCACACAATTATTATATATTTACATATCTAACATCTGAAATTTCATGGTTGCATACATAACACTACTCCTATCACTATATTTTAATAAGTAAATTACATATTTTCATGTATAAATTTTTAATAACAACATGTCATAAATGAAAATATCAAACTTTTAAGTGCTAGACATGTAAATGCATAAAAATAGCTTGGTTGCATGAAGTAGTTACCATATTAATGACATGATTAGTTTGGCCATTAATGAACACCGGACATTTTTACTCGTACTATCATGCATTCTCCTAGAAATTTTGAAGATCTGTTTATATAATAAGCATGTGGGACTAATAATAAATAATAAAATCTTTATTGAAGATGATATATTAAAGATATTACCACACTTATTAAAGCAAATAATGAAATTGGAATGGCCTTAAATTAAGTCTTTTTAGGGGACAAAAAACTTCAAAATGACACTTTTGTGTAGAATTTTTTTTAATGTATTGAAAACTAAATATAATGTCTAAAACATAAGATAATGAAAATCTTAAAACAACATATTTAGCATTTGGCTTTCACAAATCAGTCGGAACAAAAAATTAATGGATAAATAAAAAAACCTTAGATCGCGAGAGAAGGAGCAATAAAAACCTATAAGAGAGATATGTGGCAACTGTCAGGGGAGGGGAAAAAATTTGCGTATGTAAGACGTACCCAGCGTTATGTACATAATGGAGATTGTAATTGTATTATATCGGCATTATATTCACATTATATTCCATGTAACTTTCATGTACCTACATGTAACCTACAGATATGTCAAAATATAAGCGCGAAACTTATTTGTAAGTTCATGTAGGTTACATGTATGTTATATGGGAGTTATATCGAGATTACATGTGATATAAATCAGATATAATGTATATATATGTGAATATAACCTCCATTATACATGCAGTACTACGTACGTCTTCCGTAAATTTTTCTCAGGGGAGGAAGCTTGAAGAGATAGGCGAGTGAGAGGCGGAAATGTCTGAAATAAGGGATTAAAAAAATAATAATAAAACCTTATTTTGCAGTGGTTTAAACCGCTGTCAAGAAAATAATTTCACTCACACTTCAAAAGCACAAAGTGTTCCAAAATATGTCGGTTAAATCTCTGTTAAAAGTAACTTTTAACAGCAATTCTAAAATTATGCTGCAAAATGTAACATTTTTTTTTGTATTGGGTGTAAATGAGCTTAGCTAGGGCAAGCACAAACTTAGCTTGTAAAAAAAGTGCTCGACTCATTTGTACATCAATCGTAAAAAAATTTATTCGTGTTCAGAATGTTTGCTTTGCGAGCCCTAAAGTTATTTGACAGCCCTAATCATGCAGTTGTAGGATATTAAATATCCGGACAAAATTTAAGATTTACTATTTATATTAAAATATTCATTTAAATAAAATTTATAATATTTTTAATTAATATTTTTTTTGATAATATGTATGTATGTATGTATGTATATATGTATATATGTATATATCTGGACAAAATTTAAGATTTACTATTTATATTAAAATATTCATTTAAATAAAATTTATAATATTTTTAATTAATAATTTTTTTGATAATATGTATGTATTTATGTATGTATATATGTATATATGTATATATCTGGACAAAATTTAAGATTTACTATTTATATTAAAATATTCATTTAAATAAAATTTATAATATTTTTAATTAATAATTTTTTTGATAATATGTATGTATGTATGTATGTATATATGTATATATGTATATATCTGGACAAAATTTAAGATTTACTATTTATATTAAAATATTCATTTAAATAAAATTTATAATATTTTTAATTAATAATTTTTTTGATAATATGTATGTATGTATGTATGTATATATGTATATATGTATATATCTGGACAAAATTTAAGATTTACTATTTATATTAAAATATTCATTTAAATAAAATTTATAATATTTTTAATTAATAATTTTTTTGATAATATGTATGTAT